TCAATTTTTTATTTTCTATTACAGGCATCAACCTTGTTAACAACAATTTTTCAAAATGTTTTGATATTATTGGTAATAGACAAATCGGTCTATATGACTTTGCCTCATTCAAGGGTTTCCCCGATTTTCCTATCAAAAAAACTTTTTAAGCAGTAGGAACGTACCTAAGGTTAACTACTACATTTATCATTTTTTTTCAAAAATGTCATAGCTCTTCTCGACAACTCTTTTAATAGTAGTAGTAGCAGTAGTAAGAGAGGGGGGCTCCACCCGTAAACTCGCGCGAAGCCCATGCACTAAGCTATCAGAAGAGGCCCATCGGCGGCCTCCAAAACCAACACTCGACAACCCCCATGCAATCCAATCCACAAGACCCCCTATCCAAACTAGCCAATCTTCCTAGGAAAGCCCAAAAGTCGCGCGAGAGACACCCCAGATACGTCCCCCAGACCATCATAAAAGTTAGCTCCCAAGATAGTTTTTTCTCTTCCACACTAAAAGCGGACAGGCACAAAGAACATGTTCTACATCCTTCACCTCCGCCACATCCCAACATCCACGACTTACATCCATTGTAGCGACCCCAAACTTCCTGGCCATTTTCCCCAAAAGACAATGCCCCGTCAGGACCCTACGAGTGTGCTGAGATCAGCCCCACCATACCTCAACAGCATCCTCGTTGTTTTGGTCACCCTACACGTGTGAGCCTCAAGACGTCAAGATACGCTCTTAGCGGCAGAAGCATCGACCCATCTACAATGTCAGCATCCCCGCCTGCTCTAGTCCTCTCAAGACGATCTGTCATCTCATTACCCAGTAACGCGCTGTGGCCGGAAGCACAATCACCCTGCGCATATTGCAAAGTGCCTCGAGTGCCCTCCTGCATCGACTCACCAAAGTCGACCCAACCTAATATGACGCGAGGGCTCCAATCGCCGCCCTACTATCCACAAAAATTGCCAGCTCGCATCCCCCCACCCGTTTAGTGGCAGCCAATTCCCCCGCCTGAGCACCGCCAAAATCTTTGCCTGAAAAACCCCACATTCATCAGGCAACCAAATCGATAGCTCTATCTCCGACTCTTCGGAGAAGACCCCCGCCCCCGTACCATCCATGGTCCTAGAACCATCCGTATAGATGGACAAGCCCTCATGCATGCATAGCCCTTGCTTACTCTCCCTTTGTGGAATCACAACCCCGTAATCAACCCTCCAGTCGGTATATGGCACCACAAAGTCAGATATAATGTACATAGGCCGCATTCCATATTCTACTAGAATCCTACTGTGTGCCTATCCCCTGTTTTTAAGTATGCCTATCGCTTGTAGCCTCAAGGCACTCCTCGCAGCCACTGCTTTCACTTGCTCACTCACCGAATCCAAGTCGAGAATAACCTCCAAGCCAAAATGGGTGTAGCACGTAATGCACCAGTTACCCCAACACACGCCATACGTTGCACTTATTTGATCCGCATACGCTTACTTGAGCCGCACTCAGCCGCTACCACCTTTGTAGTAAGCATTTGCCCTATCCATCTGATTATATTTTCCTCTACCCCTAGATTCTCAAGAGCGCTTACGAAAGCCTCAACTCGCACATTACTGAAAGTACCCTCAACATCCAACAAAGCAGCCAAAGTATACTCCTTGTACTGCAAAAACACTTTCACCTGTGTGACCACCGCGTGCAGCGCCGTCTCCACAGATCACCCTCTTCTGTAGGGCTGCTGGTCATTTGACAGACTCGACTCCCTTTCCTCATTTCTTATATAATTTTCTACTAACTTCTCCACGGTCCTCAGCATAAAAGACGATAAGCTGATTAGTCGGAAATCCCTCGCACTGACAGGGCTATTTCTACCAGGCTTCGGCACAAAAATCGTCCTCACTTCTCTCCATTTCCTTGGGACATACCCCATATACAGGCAGCTACGAAAGATTACCACCGACCAATCGATGATAAAGCTCGGTGCCCCCCGCAGGATAATAAGCCGCACCTCATCCGTTTCCGGAGACTTGTAGCGGCCTCCCCCATCCGGTATCCTCTCCCCTGAAAAACTTTCTTTTCCCAAAACTCGTACGGCCTCCGTTCTTCTCCTCGGGACCCCTCTGGCTTTAATTCTTCCTGTTACCCGGGAATTGATCCCGAAAAGTGAACCCCATCAGCTCCTTCAACGTTTCTATACTATAGCCAGCCCTAGTAACATCATCTCTTTTGACAAAACGAGGTATCAGGGGCTCCCCCGATAGTAGCTTCCTTAATCTTGCAACCTCATTGGTATTTTCCAATGACCGCAAGACCACTGTTTGGCCTTCCTGATTGTGTACCTAAATGCCCTCAGTTCCTTCTTATATTCATCCAACATGGATGGCCTGCTTCGGTAAATTATGTAGCCTCCTTACCGTCCTTCTGGATTCACCAATTTCGTTACACCACCATGATGATTTACTGCACTTTGCAATTGGCCTTGAAGGCCCCCGCATAGCCGTACTCTGGCACTCAACCGCACTGTCAATTGACTTACCCCTTCTTATCAGTTCTTGTACCGGCCCGTCCGTGGCATATTCCAGGGCCGCCGAGTACCCATCCCCATTTGCCTTTCGGGGGTTCCTAAATGGCGCCCGCACTATCCAATGGCAAATTTATCCTAAAACGAATACAGCAATGGTTCGAGAGCGAAGACTCCTCCGATACCATCCAGTTATAGCGGTATAGAACCTCACAACTATTCCTAATGACGAAAAAAGGGTCGCAGCCCCTATTACATACACAAAGGTTAGTACCATTAACAACTCTTTTAATATCTCAGCAATAATGAGATCGAAACTTGGGGCCAGGTTCGATTTAAGCGACTTTATTGCTTGGAAAATATCGTTTTAATAAATAAAACCATAGTGCTTTCATCCACATAAAAATCATCTACGAAAGAAATACTAGAATTCAGTTAACATGATTGAAAAATGCCTTCCCAGTTTACTTCCAATTCAGCTTTATTTCTTTTGCTTTTTGCCCATGATCAGTCTTCTTTTTTCAGCGAATCCCCCGCTTTATCGTCTTCTTGGTACTCTTCGTTGCTTTCTACAACAAATAATTCGTTTCTTTAGTTGCCGTATATAATTCTCGTATGATACTGATTCAAAATTTTCTATTTTTCATTTGATTGTTTGAAAAAGTCTATTCCCAATCATTTTGTCATCTGGGTGACGCGACTCTTGCCATATACATCTAGCCTTTCTCTTTTGCACTATTAAATCAGTTATGTCCTTAGCACAACTAATACTTGATATAGGTTTCAAGTCAAGGAATCTTCAATTTTTGCAGGCGACTTTTTGAATCAATTTGATAAAATCCTCCACCTTAAAATCTAGTTGATCTCTAGTCTGCAATTTAGCATTAAGATTTATATGTCTAATAACATCATGGTTGAAGTCTACTCAATCCGTGGTTTCGTTGACTAAAGTAGATACGCTCCGTTCGTAAGCTATTTTCTCACTAAGGGTTATGGCCATTCCCTTTCATTCTCTTGTTCTGTAATTTCTTGACCACTAAACAGCGCCAGTAACTAGCATGGTGTACCAAATTGCAGTTTGTTGACCACATCAGATTTTTTTAAATTTATTTATGACATCTACACATTTGAATCCCCTTTGGATAAGTTCTTACTTAATATCCTGTGGCTCACATAATGGATGTAGGTTTCTAACTATTACTTTAATTGCCCTCCTCTATTTATTTTCATAGGTACGTCATTCCAATTTTGCCCTATTAAAAACTTTAATTAATTGCCTATATTCATTTTCATTTTAAACATTTATTTTCAGTTGATCGTTGTTCATCATATTTATCTTCACGTTAATTCTTTCCCTTTGAGGATCCTTATTAGCTGCGTGTAATATAACATTATATAACCATAGCGGAGGTTTATGTTTTTTAAGTTGAGCTTTCTTCTTTGGTGGAGATTTCTCAACCCTGGTGCTATTAATTACTAGTGCCGGTCCTATTTCTGGTGAAGTCTTGGCTTTTCACTTCTTTGAGCTTCTTTTGGTTTTAAGAATCCAATAGGTTTCTCTAACCAAATCTTCCTCATCTGTTTCATTCACAATCACTCCTATTTTGTCCTTGTCGGTGCCATTCGAAGCTGTATTCTGCTGTTCCAATAATCCTAAAATTTCTGCCTTAAGTTTGAAGCTCCTTACACAGGTTCTTCAAGTCGCTTATACGTGAATCGACCATTGGTCCCTGATGAAACGGTCTTTTACATTACCTTCAGAGGTTTTACTTTTGTTGTCTTCTTAAGACCTTCTTTTTGTATGACCTTTTATGGTTTGTCTTCTAACTTCCTCCATAGGAGGAGACCTTGCAACCCTTAAGCTCTTGCCAAACGGGTTCATTTAATTCTCTAAGTGATCTTTTTTTTCCACTGGCGACTTATGTGAACATCTTAAACATTCAGTCAAGCCCTCGCCGACAGCCGTGGCCTCTGCCGATACTTTAATAAATATCCCTACCGCATATATATTCTTATTATTGAAATTTTATATTTGTTATGAGTTATATGGCCACTGCCGTCCCTCTAGGATCAGACGCAGACCAGGAAGCAATCCATTCTGGATCAGACGCGCATGAATATACCGGATTTTAGTGGCTTCGTACTATAAGCATGCCTACTATATGTATTTCTATTCCCCAACCCACTGGGTTTTGATTCGCTAAAAAACTTTTTAAAACTGATAATCTTTACAACCTGTAGTATAAAAGTTTTGAGCATCACATTGTACAAATAATTTTGAGAATTTTTAAGTTTATCATCGTGAGATGAAATTAAAATGTTTTCAAATAGTTAATGACAGTTTGCTATCTCGGACTATTACTTTAATATCATGGTTTGGGATGAATTTATAAAACAAAATTTTTACATTGATTTCCGCATTTAAAACAGATATAATCTAATATATATGCCCTAATTTTAATTTTTTTCCTTTACATACCATAATATATAGTGCATCAGAAAAACATTTACTTTATGATACATCACCATCTGAATCAAAAACTAAATCAGATCAAAAAGAACGTGAAGATTTAAAAAATTCCATAGATTTAAATAATAAATCAAACAAGGATATTAAAGAAAAGGACAATAATTCATTGCCTATAAAATATATATCGGGTAATTTAAATTCTGATGATTTATATGCACTACCAAATAAATCGGCAACAACAACAACCACAACACCATCTACAGGAGTTACTGTAAATAATCGTAACAATAAAGATTTTAATAATGAATTGGTAGATGAAATTGCACCAGAAGATGATGTTATAGATTATGATGGTAGTGGTGATGTAGAAGATGAAGCAAATCAAAAAAGTAAATTAACAAATCGTACCAGAATAAATGAAAATAATAATCGGAGTCAACAGCAACAACAACAACAGCAGCAACAACAACAATTTCAAAATGCTAATGAATATGATGATGAAGAAGGTGATGAAGAGAAAGGTAAAAAAGAAGAAATTGAAGGAATTGAAGATAAGGATGCTAATAAAGATTTGCCACCTGGATGGGAAAAACATGAAGGTTTGTTGTTTATTTCGTTTCTTTCTTATTGTTCTGTTGCTTACAAAATAAATATAAAATTTCTGCATGATTTTGTAATGGTGAATGGGGATATATTTTGGTAACCTGATATATGATGCAGACTTAAATTTTAGGTTAAGTAACATAAAAATTGCATTTTTCTATTTTAAAAATTGCATTATTTTTTTTGTTTTCCCCCAGGATTTTATTACGCTTATTGACCTTTATTTATACCTAATATACTTGTGTATACAAAAGCCTTTCACTGTTAAAATTAAATAATTTAATTAATCCAAATAATATTGACGTAAATTTGTTATTTTTTAATTAGAACAATATAAATTTTATGTTACTATCATTAACATAATAAAGCGATAAATAGATGAAGTATTTCGAGGACGTAGCGCCGCAGGGAATGACTTTTCCTGTGGATCAACACTAGACACTCACGGATAACGTCCAACAAACCTCCGAAATCAATGTCCCATTAGGAGAGTCCTGAGTGCACTTATATACTCTTAATCATTCCTAACATTTTCTTATAAAACTTCAAGTCGGTATTAAACGAGCTTTAGAAGGTATTAAGCTCCTTTTTGAGCTATCGACTATTAACATTTTCTAATTAGAATTAAAACCCTGGGCAAGTTTTTCCCAGCCCCATTTCTTTTATTTTAAAGGGCTCCTGTGGCTGCCTTCACCCCGGCCCCTGATTTTGCTGTAGAGCATAATTGGTACCTATAAGGTAGTGATAGTTTTATCAGCTCTACTCCTAAGTTGTAACTCCAAACTCAGCTTTCTATTCAGGACCAACTCCAGATATTTGACCCTACTGGGTTGCAAAATCAGCAAGTTTTCCTCTTTGCCCTATGAACTTTTCCATTATTTTTTGTAAGAGTCCTATCCCAATCGCTACTATCTATTGTCAGAGGTTCTTTTAGGCCCTTCCGCGCCTTTTCATTTCGATAAGTTTGCCATTCTAACACGTTATGTTCCTTATCGACTTACCCCTTATTGTTGGGCGGCTGTTTTAGTTGGATTGGTTAATCAAGAGTCACAGGTCGGGGAAATCTACGGGGAGATTTTGTCAAACACATACCAGTTTTATATTTGGAGAGTCACCAAAGGACTAGTTATGATAAGATCTAAGACCTACCTGCATACTGAATATATAAAGGTTGGTCCAACAGGCTTTTGGACGTCTTATTTGTGTAACTTCATATTGCAGTATAACGCATATTTGTAATTCGCAGTTTGTATGTAAAATATGACATGATTTTAATGCAATTCATAAAGTTGATTTAAAAAAACTGAATTTTCAGTTTTTATTGAAGTATTCATTTTAAATAATAATTTATATAATGATCTCAACAAAATTTTGTTTGAATCAAGGTAAAACTCTCAAAATAGGTAATTTAAAATAATTTTGTTGATCTTCGTCTTTAAAACAAAAAATTAAAATATTACATTTTTCTCTTCTTAAATTCATTTGCTTTTTCATTTTTGTTTAATCTATCTACCTGTTCATATACATATTCAGATAATGATGGACCATATTATTGGCATATTAAATCTGGCACCATACAAAGAGAACCACCAATATGGCCAAAATGTGGTAATAAAGAACTTAAAACTCCTGTAACAACATCATCAACAATGAATCCAACATTTATACCACATCGTAGTCCAAATAATAATATTTCATCATTTCAAACACAATTTTATGGTTCAAGTGGTGGTACTATAGGAGGTGTTAGTGGTAGTGGTGGTAATATTGTTGGAGGTAGTTGTGGTTTAAATGGTACAAGAGATATTATGACAGGAAGTCGAATATCAGTAGTAAGTATTAGTTAATTTTTTTTTTTTTTTTATAATCTTATATATTATATTTTTCTTTATGGTGTGAAAGAAAACAAAAATGAAATTTATTAGATTATACGGGGGGTAATTGAGTGTATATTATATAAGTATTAATAGAGAACAACTTAAGTATGGCAATGAATTCTAATTAAATGCCACTCTACCAAAATTACACAGTAAGGATGTGTATATGTACATTTATACGTATATTATTTTTCCTTTTTGTGTTTATTACTTTGAAGAAGATTTGATTACCTTGTAGATACGAATATATATATTGAGTCTAATATTATTTTTGGTTGGGAATTTGTTGTTTCTTCAACTTTGTCTAATTACGACCACTTCTTTCGTTAATAATATGGTTAACAAAAAACATATTTTGTTTACAAATAAATTAATAGAAAAATATTATAAATTTCTACAACTTGAACTTTAAACTTTAATTTATTATAACAAATTAATATTTTGGTTGCGAAGACTGAAGTATGTTAGAAATAGATTACAAAATTTTAAAGAGACTTATAGTTTGCCTTTGTTTTTAATAAACTATTTGAAATACTCAGATTAACATGTTTACGTAACAAAATTGTAAATGATAATGATTAATTAACAATAAATCATTATTTTAGATTTTATAATAATAAAATCATAAATTTATTATTCTTTGTTCTTCATCACTTTTAAAATTCCAACATTCACTCAAAATGAGATTACGTGTCAATTTACATAAAATTTAGTTATAAATTTTCGTCTGCTATACTAATATCTACTCCTTTATTTTAAAAAATTCCAATACAGTGTTTAAACGTTCCAAAATTGCAATTGATAAATGAAATGATTTAAAATTTATTACAGTTTACCTCTAGAAGTATGTTATATTTTTAGTAAATTATGTGCTCACGTTGCGGTCTTTACCTATTAAAATTTTGAAATGAAAATTCCACTTTTTTCAAAATACACATTTAATATTGATATAACCTAAAATATACGAGTATCAGAGTAAAATAAAATATTTACAAAACTATATTTTAAACGATATTTTACATCGCTTTAATTTCACTGACATTAATATTAATAAAAATTTCAAATCGTATTCAAACACTTTGCCGCTTACTGTTACAATACGCAATGACGATCACTTTATACTATTGTTAAAATTATGCCGCAAATAGTGTAATCAAAATATATATGAAATAACCTAACCGAAGGTCGATAGAGATGACATTTACATATCAAAATTTATAAAACATTTTGGAAAAAAAAAGTACCAGATTAAAATGCTACATTTTGAATAATGTTTCGGAAATATGTAAACAAAATCAAAACTGTTAAAAAAATTTTTTCACCTACTAAAAATATGCAACATCTGTCAACGAAATTCAATTTAAATTGAATTTTTACTTTGCTATAATAATGTGTTAGGTGCTATATGGGTTTGCTGTCTGTCTATATCCTATAATAACATAGAGATGAGAATTATTTTTATTTTTCGTTTCTGAAAATATGCAATAAATTGCCATTTCAATAAAAATCAATAAAATTTATTTTATATTTTTTTTCTTCATTTTTTCCTAATTTTTTATTTTTTTTTCCCTATATTCTTAATACTGAATCGTTTTTTGTTGTCCTTTTTAAGGATTCACAAGGTTTATCGGTAACTCGTAGCAATACTATTAGTTCTTCATTGGACCAAGAGGAGGAGCGGAGAAGACGTGAAGATTTATCTTATAAGTAAGTTTAAATTATTTTTTTTTATTTAATTTTTTCTTACTATTTTTTTATCCTTTAAATTAAAATAAGCATGTATAGAAGGTTTTTAAATAGATTTTTGCGTTTCATGAAAAATACTTTTGTGCTCGTTTCACAACGAATGAAAAATAAGTGAAGTATAGAAAAAATATTAAAAATTTATACTTACTACAATATCCTGGTAGTAAGCGCAATTATTTCCTTTAATGCAATAAATTTTGCGACCGTACATAGAAAAAAACAAAGCTGCAAGTTTAAAATGCGATTTGATTGTTGCTTCGACTTTTTATGTTAAAGTCAACAAAGTATATATTATAATTTTATAACTAATACCTATATATACCTAGTATATAACTAATTACTAATACAATTTTTAGTTGTTTACTTTATTATTCATTTCTTATGAGAATAACAAATGGAAATTCCTTCATACGTAATTTAAGGAACAAGTGAAGGCAGGAAAATTAAAACAAATTTTTATTGAACTAGATACGAACCGACAACCTACTGCTTTCTAGGCGGACATTGGTGAAGCAACCTCAACTGAAAGATCTTGTTCGGGTTATGAAAAATATATAATATACATGCGAAACTTCACCTTTCTTCCCAAATATTTTTAAACAAAAGTTTCATCCACTCTCCATTATAATGCCGCACTGTTTACAAAATCACCCTGTATACGAGTATTTTTTCTTTTACAAAATAAATAAATACAACTATGTATAGTATTTTTATACGTACAATGCATACATACACATATACAAAAATATATTACGCTTTTTTTTTAGACGGCGAAGTTATCCTTTAAAATCCGATTCAGATAGACCAATACGTTTTGCGGTAAGATCACTTGGTTGGGTTGAAATTGCTGAAGAAGATTTAACACCAGAAAGGTCATCAAAAGCTGTTAACAAATGTATTGTAGATTTATCATTAGGAAGAAATGATTTATTAGACGTTGTTGGTCGTTGGGGTGATGTAAGTATTTTATTTTATAATTTTTTTTATGACAAAATAGATTGGTTATGCTTATAAAAATTATATTGAAACATGATTATATTAAAAAAGTGTTTGTAATATAAGATGCATTAAAATGCATCAGCTTTGTGTAAGATTTTTAAGGTTATCGTTGTAAAAATCGAAGTATTTAAAGAAACTTGTAATAAGCATTAATTTTTCATTTCAAATAAAATTCAGAAAACAAGTAAATTATTCGAAAAGGAAATTCTCAAGTTTAAAAAAAAACTTGGTTTAATATTTCTACGTTAAGTACAAAATACTTGTAATATTAAAAAAGTAAACCTTCTTCTTAAATTCCAAAGTATTTAAAGTTTCTTTTATATTTTCATAGTCTGTTATTTGTAGATGAATCGTAAATGAAACATTTTGAAGTGCACTTATTTCGAGGGTACATTGTACATAAGTTATCCTTATATCCTTTGAACTCTACATGAATGAGATGGAAAATATGATTTTACTTTTATACATTTTTTTTTTTTTTTTTTTTTTTTGTTTTTTTTACCGAGAGGAAGGGTGAAAATCTCGAAAGACACTGCCAGACGAAAAGCAGTAGTGTGGAACTTTAATCCACTAAAAAACACCCTCCTCAAAATAAACTATAAAACTAGTCGAAAACGACAAACCATTCATTTTGCTCTAACCTTTTTGATTATTTACAAGCTTTTGATCTGGCACAATAGCGTACTAAGTACTCATTGTTCCAGATAAAAAACTCTAAACTAACTCGAGAGGTCTCGTACGTTTAAGTCTCCTAACAAAGTTTTGATTGTCAACCAATCGAGCCGCCTCGATATTGACATGATTGAATAAACGCATTTTATGATTGGCTGCTTGCTTTTTAATTTCGTCTGTGACACTTAGGATCGTGAGATCCCTGTGTATATCGGCATTACGGACATACCAAGGGGCGTTTACAATGTCCCGTAATACTCTATTTTGAAATCTTTGTATAGATTGGATATGAGTCTGCGCAGCGCAGCCCCATAACTGATTACCGTAAGCCCAGACAGGCTTAAATATTTGATTATATATCAAAACTTTGTTGTATATTGTCAATTTGGAACGCCTCCCCAAAAGCCATTCGAACTTTCTGTATTCCTTTCTGTATTCTGTATGTGCTCCTTTCATCTGAGCTTCGCGTCCAACGTCATTCCCAAATACTTCGCTGTGTTTGCGGACGGAATCAAGACGCCATTAATGAAAATGAATTATCAATTTTCCTATTAGTGAAATTTACGTGTACTGATTTCACCTCGTTAAGTTTTATATTCCACTTTCTAGGCCATTTTGAGATCTCATCACTGGCCCTTTGCAATTTTTGTGTAGATTCATTTTCATTTCGTCCTATTGCGATAACTGCTGTATCGTCAGCAAATGCAGCTGTTGTCACTCCTTCCGATTCAGGAATATCACACGTATATAGCAAGTATAGTATCGGGCCCAATATACTCCCCTGTGGTACCCCCGACTTGATATCCCTAAGCGAAGAGTACTCCTCTTCCTGTTTAACTCGAAATACCCTATTAGTCAGGTAAGATCCGAGCAGGTCAACATACTGCCTTGGTAGCAATCGCCTAAGTTTTTTTATTAATCCACAATGCCAAACCTTATCGAAGGCCTGGGCTACGTCCAAAAATATGATAGAACATATTGTTTTTTCTTCCAGTGAATTTTCTATTAGGTCAGTTATTCTATGAATCTGATCTATGGTTGAATCGTTGCGGCGAAAACCAAATTGATGATTCGGGATTAACTTTTTACTTTCATTTATATGCTGGAGTCTTCTCAATAAAAGTTTCTCTATCAGTTTTGAAATCATAGGCAACAATGAGATTGGTCTATAAGAAGTCGCCTTGTCTATAGGTTTGCCAGGTTTGTGCAGCATGATTATCTCTGCAACTTTCCAAATTTCAGGCACGTAATTGAACCTTATACACGCATTTATTAGGCGCTTAAGCATCGTTATACCCCTTTTGGGTAATTCTTTCAAAATATCGACCGTTATTAGGTCAAATCCTGGGGCCTTTTTAGGTTTAAGAGTCCTGATTTCTTCTATGACCTCTCTTTCCTTGACAATTGGAATAGTCACGCTATCCCCAACAAAAGCAGATTCCTCATTTTCATACACGCTCCGGCTGTCATGCGGGCAGAATATATCGGCCAAATGATCCGCAAACGCATTTGCCTTGTCCTTGTCAGTTTTTGCCCACGTTCCATCTTTGTTTTTAATAGGAGCGAGATGTTTGATAGGTTGCTTCATTTTCTTTGTTGCCCTCCACAGTGAGTAATTGGTTTTCTCACACGCCGTCAAATTTTGAATATAATCAGCAACCGAATCCTCTTTGTATTTTCTAATACAGCGTCTTAGTTGCTGCGATTCATGATTATATCTGGTTTTATCAGCAGGATCACGCGTTTGTTGCCATCTTTTTCTCGCCCGCCTGTTTCGTTTTACTTTTGCTAGTATATGTGGGGGATAGTTAATGCCCCCCCTCATAATAACGTTAATTTTGGAACTACTCCAAGCCGCATTTTGAATAATTTTAGTAAAGTTTTCGGCCTCCTCATCTATGTGCTGGGTCGTTCTTATTCTTTTCCTTAGATCTATTTGACATTCAATCTCTAAGCGAAATCTTGACCAATCTGTAGTTCCATTTGTCAGCGCAGGTTTCGCTCTTTTCATAACTATATTTTCCTTAAGTACAAGAATAACCACCGACTGATCGGAGTCAAGATCGTAGTTATCATGTACCCCGATGAAATTTTTCGCAATCCGTTTCGTCATGAAAAAATCTATTAAATCTGGACACTTATTAACATCGGTTGGCCAATACGTTGGCTTCGCAGTAGAATGAAAAAGGCACCCCGTGCCGCCAATTGCTGTCCTAAGTTCTGTTCCTCTAGTTGAAGTATGCCTTGAACCCCAATCAGTGTGCTTGGCGTTAAAGTCACCCCCCAATATAAATCTATCGCCCAGGTCTGTCAGGACGCATTGAAACATTTCTGCCGTAATTTTAAATCTAGGGTGACAATATAATGCAGCCACTCTAAATTTCTGCTTAGTCGAAGTGATCTGAACCGCTGTCATTTGCATTCCCTCGGTTTGCATCTGGTGCAGATCGCAATGCACCACATTTTTTTTAATTATTATCGCCGTTCCGCCCTTCCCTATATTTCCAGGATGGTTCGAGTTGTAAATTCTATAACCTGGAAACCGAATCCTGCTTCTTAAGGTCATATGTGTTTCAGTTACGAGGCACACGTCTATATTCTGTGTATGCAGAAAAACTTCAAGCATGTCTTTTTTATTTGCAATACCATTGCAATTCCATGTTGCTATTTTAAAATTACCTCGTGCCATCTTTTACCAGGTCTTTTGGTATTCGATTTTTTCCCTTCGCTCTCTAAAATACTCAATCTCTGAGAGATTTTGTCCATCATATCTAGCATGTTCTGCATCATATTTTGCATTTTATACAAAACATTCACGTCACTGGCCCTTTTTTTATTGCTCGTGCCACCGTCATCAGTTTTCGTTTAGAGAACGTCCCTGTATGTTACATCTTTTGAGACTATTCTCGAGGTGAATTTCCTCGGTGGCCGTTCAGAATTCTTCAGGTTGTTGTTGCTGTTCAAATTTCTACGTTTTTGCAGTTCCTTAGTTACAAGGCATCCCCTATAGTTTGCTGGGTGGGCCTCCAAGCGATTGGAACACTTTGCTGCAGTACTCTTCGGCTTACTGCAATCTGATGTTAAGTGCCTGTCTGCACATTTAACACAATTCGGTTCTCTCTGGCAAAATTTTTGTGTATGCCCATACCTTTGACACCTTTTACACTGCGGAATGGTCCTGTCCTTTCGAAGTGCCTCTATCCTAACTTTCATCCTGTTTATGTAATCGATTTCATAAATTTTTTTCATCTCTTCTTCATTTGAGAATGTTAACATAAACAGCGGTAGAGGCACCATAATGTTTTTCCCATTTTCTTTCATTTTTTTAATTTTATTGCTTACATCTAAGATCTTGTAACCCCTAGAGCTTAGGTCTTCCTTTATATCTTCCGGTTTACAACTGGGGTGAAGACCTCTTACCATGACTTTTATTGGTCTGGCCTGCTTGTTTTCATAGGTATACCATTCTAGTCCAGATCCATTCATGGCTCTGGTATTTTTATACATAGCATCTCTTAAGATTTATTATTTTATGAATATTTAAATTTTCTACAATATTCTATTTTATTTTTTTTTCGTTTTTATTTTCTAGTTTCTAATTTAAAGTTCTAATGCTTTTCCTTAGCACTTTATAAATTAAATCACGATTTTATTAAGGTATGATGAAATATTATTGCTATACTCGAAATGGTTTTTGAAAAACAAATACTCAGCGTTATATAACATATATAAGTAATTTATCAAAAATGCATTTATAGATCTTTGAGAAAAATATTGTATGTTCACTACGAACTGATGTTCGATTACGAATAAATATCGAGTATTTATGTCACTTATTTAGGGGATGATAAATTCCCTATAAAGTTTTAAATTACGACAAAGCAATGTATTTGTGAATATAATTAGTCAAAATGTTATTTTCTAATTAACATTTTACAAAACAAAAAATGTATTCAATGGAAATATTTACTTGCATAATTATTATTACAATGTAAAATTAACTTTATTATAACGTGAGTGATGTTTTATACTCTTCCTAAAGAGCTTTCTGTTTCTGAGCCTTGAAATTTCCTGTTCTGACAGAAGTGTCAGGAATGGATTCAATCCCATCCGCGAGGAGCGTTCTGAATTGACTCCAATCTGTGGATTGAGGCACTCGATACATCTTTTCTGCCAGGCCTCTGGAGATCAGTATATCAAGCCTAATCTGCCTATGGTCGGAACTGGATGTCTCATTTGAGACATACCAACCACCAACCCTACTGCCGATAAACTCATTGCAAAGGGTATTGTCAAGAACCTCTTCCCTAAATGCGTTTATGAATGTCGGCCTATTACCGACGATTACATTCTAACCGTAAACTTATTGTTGTATATAAATTCAAGTAGGCACTCACCTTTTGGGCGGTGTAGTGAGCATTGACATCACTTCCTATTATCAACTGGAAGTTCCTTCTTCCATAGAAATTCACTAGGTAATTTAATTGTCCGTCTGAATGGACACAGTCTCCCGAGAGATAGGATGAGCATACAATAAACTCTGCACAGCCCCCAGGGGACTTTACGCTACCTGACCAACGCAGCTACCTCATCATTGGGACAGTAATCTGAAGTGGGAAAATATGTCTTTTTCTAAACAAGATGCAGACCCAATTGCAATATCATACAATATTCTTCCCCCAATTGTATTATCATACAATAGCTCACCTGTTAGGTCCTTAACCTCATTCTACACTATGCAAGGCTCTTGATGTCGAGGTGATCCTTCATAAATCTGTGAGTCAGAACATCCGCAGTTGCCCTGGCATATTGTAGACTCATTTGGATGCACCCTGCAGCCATATCATTTTTCCTTGATATTGTTCGGGTTTCCCAATGGGGTTGAACCCTTTTAGTTTACCCGGGACGCTTGCATTTGGTGCGCTGGTCGTTGGCTTCCATTCCTCTGGCCGCCATTTTCGAAGCGACTTTAGGTTTTACCAATGAGCTTTGGATCTTTTGTTTCGTCTGAAGTGCTCGTTATTGTCGTGGTGGGAGTTGGTCTTTTAAATTATTCTGCCCAGTCGCAAGCCCCTTGAGAGAGTTTCCTTCCCTTGACTGAAGGGTAACACGGAAGAAGTTCAGAAAAAGTCGAAACTCCCCTTTCCGTATATCTTGCAAACCGAAACCATACACGGAGAAGGTGATGAAGCAGCCCCGTCCTTTACCTTATCAATCCTCGCCACCCTCCAGGAACTCATTTTGAGGCTGGGATTTTAGCTACTTTGGCTAAAATCCCAGCCTCATTGGCTACATTGACTATACAACATCAAAACCACAGGCCCTCAGTTTGTCGAGCCTTTCCTTCCCGTATCTGCGAGCTTCCTGATGCATCCAGGCAGTGTATGCTGCGATACACCACCTGGATGCGCCAGAGAAATATTGTTTTTCCATCTGATTAAGCAGGCCCTTAAGGGCTCTCCACTAGGAAGTGACTGTGATTTTGGTCCCCAAAATATATAATCAGCAATTTTAGCTATATACCCATTATATATAATCAGAATATTAGTTCAGCGAAACCCAAAACTTAACAAATTATCGTTTTATACTTTAGTTTTACTGTTCTAGGAATGCAAATAAAATTTTGAATCAATTACTTTGATTAATATTAATAATTATGAATTGCAAATGCAGAGTAACTTTTCTGATAAAAATAACATCCTTTATTATGGGAAAAGGGGAAAATATGCTACTTGAATAGTATAAAAACTATATACGTAAATAATGGTAAAAATTTCAAAATTTTATTCAATTATATTAACAAAAAGCAACAAAAAACGAACCAAAATAATGAACAACATTTTATTCAAGGAATAGAGATTTGTATACTACAATAATATAAAGCTTAAAAAAATAATGTTTCATGCTTTGTTTCAATGATGAAAAAAACAAATTTAACTATATATAAATAATATTATATATTATATATACGTAACGATATTTGTTGACCTAAATAATTCTATTTCAAGAAAAAAAATTTTCTTAATTGAAAATATGAAGGAACGCTTTTGTAGTACTGTATATAGGGATGAAGTATAAATGGTGTTATAAATTAAATAATTAAAAACTAGAACGGAAAATTATATTTTGTAAAATTAAATGTAACAATATTAAATTGCATAAAAAGAACAATATTTTTTTTAAATTTCAATTTCTGTACGAGATTCCTACACACTACTTACAATTTTTTTGTTTAACTTTTTAAGAAACACTTATTTTCATTAATTTAAATTTTGTATTCTTCTTAAATATTTAGGGTAAAGATTTATTCATGGATTTAGATGAAGGTGCTTTAAAATTAATAGATCCCGAAAATTTGACAATACTAAATACACAACCGATACATACAATTCGTGTATGGGGAGTTGGACGTGATAATGGAAGGTATAAAATATTAATTTAAAATTATTTAAAAAATATTATACGTTAATATAGAGGAATAATATAAATTATATTAGAAAACTTTTTTTATAACATGTTTGATAGTTTATAGTTGTGTTTGTATACATATATATATATTTAAATTAAAAAAAAAAAATTCTATAGTTCAGCCAGCCACCAAACAGCCTAGGTAACTAGCAGGATGTGCCTCATCACAGTTTGCACATTTGGCTTGAAAGATATCTTTCCTATTACGAACTTTCGTCATATGATAATCAGCATTTTAAAATTTTTAGACCCTCTTTGAGAAAATCTTTGTGTATGTCCGAACTTCCGGCGTTTCTTGCATTAGTAAATAAGCCTATTGCTTCTAATGCTTAGGCTCGTCAATTTATTTTTATAAGTATGCCATTTTAATTTGGCCTAATTAACAGCTTTAGGTAGTCGTCTGTATTCATTTTCATTATTAACATTTATTTTAATTTGATCACGTTCATCATGCTTACCATCACATCCATATTTTCCTCTTTAAGGCTCCTGATTAGTTGTGTAATGGATTATATTAGCCCTGGTGGAGGCTTATGTTTTCTAAGTTCAACATTTTTCTACGGTGGAGATCTCTCTACTTTAGTGTTATTTATTTCCAATGGCGGCTTCATATTTGGTGAACTTTGGATTTTTCGCTTTTTTGAGTTAAGAATACAATCGATTTCTCTAGCCAACTCTTCTCCTTCTCGGTTTCGTACACGACCATACCAATTTTGTCTTTCTCGGTGTTATTTAAAACTGTATTCTGCTGTCCCAATAATCTTAGATTTGCTGCTTTGAATTTGAAAATCTCTTTTTTTAGCTCCTAACACAGGAGCTATAAATCGCTTATACACAAATCTATCATTGGTCCACTTTGTTAAAATATTTAGTTTATTCCTCTTTCCACTCTATTTTGACATAAGTTTGTTTTTGCCTTTTAAAAATTTTTTTTAAAAAATTAAATATTTAACATTTAAATCGCAATTTATTCGAAATGTCAAGGTCAGTAATGCGCTGAGCGCCTCATATCACTTTTAGAGTTTTTACTTTTATTGTCTTCTTCAGACTTCCTTTCTTTACAGTTTTCTAAGGTTTTCTTTTTTACTTCCTCCATAGGTGAACCTTGTGACCTTTGAGCTCTTACCAAATGGGTAGATTAATTTCGCTAAACGTACTTTTTTTGCCACTGGCAGCTCTCCAAATGCCCTAAAAATTTATCAAAGCTTCCGTTGAGAGCCTTTGTCTCTGAATATTCATTAGATATCCCTACCGCATCTCTAAGATATTGGTGGACTCATACCACATGCACACTATGGGTATTCCTTGTATTATTTAGCTCAGTAAGATATAGAGCTAATCTAGCTAATCTAGCTCTATATCTTAGTAATTGAACATCTTCGAACCACGTCTTTTAGTAGACCTTTAAGCTGTTATTCTTCCTCTAGCCCCGCTGTTATTTTTCTCCTTCACTATCTGTTTCGTGAGTATCAATACTATCATTTGAGTACTCGTAATACTATTACGAGTATTATTTACGGTATTATATGTATATGTATTACTTATTATTATTATTTACGGTCCATGTACCTTATAAATACATGTATATATATATATATTTATATATGAACACAATACTTTTTTAAGTTATTTAATTTATCGATATAATTATTATAAGTTTTAATACTTCATTAAATTTAAAAAAATTATATTTATATATGAATGATTTTACATAATCATACTTAAAAAATTTATAATAATTAATTAGAATTTTTTCTATACTATAAAATTGCAATATAGAAAAAAAATTAATATTTATTTTAAGCATTTAGATAAATTATAATATTTATGTATTAATTACTAATAATATAAAAAAAATATTATTATTCTAGAAAAATTGAATTTTAACTCTTGTTTTCTTGTTTTTTCATTTTTCACTTTGTTTTCTTGTTTCTCTTTTTTCCTCCCATTGTGTTTTTTCATTATCGTTACCATAATAATTCGAATTAAAATGCTATCTAAAATTATCAAAAAAATAAAAAACATTACATTTGTTAATGATTAATGAACAAAAATTGACAAAACAAAAAAACAAATAATATTTTTTATATAGAGAGAGGTTAGTATTTATAATGATTTGTTTTTATAAAATTAATTAAATAAATAAGTTTTTTTCATTTTTAAAATAATATTTATATATTAAAAATTAATAGTAGTTTTAATGAATGGTCTTTAATTTTTTTTATTAAAGAGTATTAATTAGTTTATTAAATTGCATGGAAATAAAACTATTTTCGACAGCACAATACGACTTTTTTCATTATTTTATTATTAAAATTAAACTATTAAACATTTAATTTTTTGGACTAAAGAATTTGGTCAAGATCATGCAAAAAATTAAAAAGCTCAAAAATATTAAAATTATAAGATTATAAGATTTATTGCTATGCGTTCGCCTGTTATTAGAGAAAGAAAGGAAGTGCAAACTTAACACTTATTATAAATAATTATTTTGACACGCAAATTTAATAAATTTTAAAATACTCTTGCACTTTTAAATTTCCTTTACTAGTTATCAAAATCTAGAAATAATTATCTTATTTTTATAATAAATTCTTTAAAAAATTGAGAATCTATCATTATTTATCATTTACATTAAAATTGCCATTTAATGGCACAGTATCTATAATTTTATTAAATGAAAATTTTTAAATCACAAAATTCTTGTTTATCGCCACCGTGTTTTTAATATCTTATACCTAAAAAAACTAGAATAGTTGTAAGCTATAGAATTTTATATATCTCTTAAATAAAAATATAAAAAATTTATTCTTAATTAATTTTATTTTATATTTAATTAATATTAATTTCATAGTAAACTACATAGAAGATTTCAAGTAAAGCTGTTCGATCTACTAATATTTATTTGTAATGCCTTATTATTTTCATCAATAGTAGTTTTTATTGCTTTATTTTTTATGTAGTTTGTATATAAAAAAATTATGGAAAATTTTGTATGTATTTTATTTAGAATTTTGTAAATACTTATGGAATTTGATTTTATACCAAAAATCATTGATTCGGGTGGAATGTTCAAAATAGAAAATTAGCAAACCGATAATAGTTACATATATTTATATTTACTTACTAACATTTCACACATATATATGCATATATTTATATGTGTTAGAAAAGTTTCCGTACAAATTACACAAGTCCTTTTGGCTTCACAAAATAAAATAAAAGCAATACAAAATTATAAAAAATAAATATTTATTTGAAAAAAAAAAATATTTTTGTCATAAAATAATAATTTTTCTATTTTGTTTTTCAATGTTTCATTTTCTATATTTATTTTGTTCAGGGATTTTGCATATGTTGCACGTGATAGATTAACAAGAATTCATATGTGTCATGTATTCAGATGTGATACAGCAGCTAGAACAATTGCGAATACTTTAAGGTAAAATGATTTCCAAAATTTATTTTATAATTTTGTCATTTAATTCAATTATAAACACATTCAATAATTTTTAAACGCGAATATAACAAAATTTCTATTGAAATTGGTTTTTTTTTTAATATTTTAAATTTTTGTAGGGATATTTGTAAACGAATAATGATTGAAAGATCATTACAATTGGATAGCAACAGTAGCAGCATAAATAGTTCACCAAACACATCAAATGGTCGTAGTGCAATACGTCCAACTGATTTACCAACAGAGAATAGAAAATGGGCAAGACATCGTAAGTTTTGTTTTTTTTATTCCATATTTTAATAAAATATTTCAAAAACATTTTTCATTTCTTATGTAAAAGCAAATTAATTATATAAACTTCTTTCTTTTTCATAGCTCAATCATTCCCAACGCCAATGGAAGAACCTAAAAAAGTTTTAAAGGCATCATATTTAGGTTCAATGGAAGTAAATCAACCAACTGGTATGGAAATATTAAATAATGCAATTGATTCTGTAATGGCTAAAACAAGACCTGAACAGTGGGAAAATGTTAATGTATCTGTCGCACCGTCTATGATTAGTGTTCATAGTTCAGGGGTAATTCTTAATTATACTTTACTTTCCAAGCATATCTTACAATGTATAAGCAATTCAAGTTAAAATAAATTATTTAAAAAAACTGATGTAATTGTATATCATGGCTGCTTATAAAATCCAATTTCATTAACACTTTTGAAAAAATTTCGTTTTAGGATGATTCAAAACTTTTAACTGAATGTAGAGTCAGATATTTAAGTTTTTTGGGTATTGGAAAAAATGTTAAAAATTGTGCTTTTATAATGCATACAGCACAAGATAAATTTGTTGCACATGTATTTCATTGTGAACCGTCCAGCGGTGCTCTATGTAAAACAATTGAAGCCGCATGTAAAGTAAGTTTTACCACCATTTTGGAAATTTAAATAATACTTCCTGAAATTACAATATGTTCGAATTTATTAATGTTTATTCATCATATATTTCAGTTACGTTACCAAAAATGTTTGGATGCACATCCAGAAACACGTTTATCCTCCGATTCTAATACACCTAGTAAAGGTATCGGTGCGACAATAAAAAACTTGATGAGCTCCTTATCATTAAAAAAAGATCGAACGAATTCCTGAGAAAGAGCTAAATCTCTGCAGGTATATACTATAACAAAATATATAAAACAAGTTGAAAGTAATATTAATGTAAAATATATTTTGCAATAGAAAAATTTGTTTAAAAACTTTAACTTTAAAAAACAAAAAATATTTTTTATATAAATGATTTTAATTTTATACAAGTTGAATTGTCAAATAATTTTAAATCATAATCTTTTTAAAATAACAAAAATCATGGCCACAATTTATTCATGTTTTTTCAATAAACTTGTCATGCTTTTGAATCATGTAAGCTTATGTGCCATTTTAATTTCAGTTTCAAGCTTATTATTAACTCTATTTTGAATTAAGTGTATAATTAATCAAACTGACTGACCTGAAAAATACAGTTATGACGTCACATCACTTCAAATATTCCTTTCTGGTAGTCGTGTCTGTAGACGCAATAAAACTAACAGCAGTCGTGCTTTCATAAAAAAATTAAATTGATTATTTGCATATAAAAAAAAACAAAAAAAAGTAATTATTAAAAAAATTTTTTAATTCGTAAAATTTGTACATTTACCAGAAACACCTTCGGTTGTGTCAACATTTTGTCTACCATTAAGTTTAATAAAAGCTCAAAATGCTCATAATATATGCACGTTATTCTTTTTGTTCAGGAAATTACAAAAACAGAATTACATTAGATTAGTAGAATACATTAGTAGAATAAAATATAATTTTTGTAATTACTAACTCCGCCGATTTGTCCATCTTAACTATAATGTATACCCAGCAAAATCCATCGAGTGCAAATATTGAAGTGATTAAAAATGATTATCACGTCGTATGAAATGGGTGAATAGTTTAGTTATATTTTCTCTTATCAATAATTGTGAACAAAATTTTAAGGATAGCTTATTTTTCCTAATGTTAATAAGATATTAATGTTTTATTTGCAAAAATTGGCTGCTGGCAGCCACATTTTTATTTAACCCATACATAATGAATAAAAAAAACAGGGGAGCAACAAACTTTTTGAAACCAATTTGCATTTTGAACTTTTTAAAAACGTTATGATTTTAAATAGAAGACAAACACAACTTCATTCAATTTTCATTTTTATATCTTTTTAATTTTCTTTTTAAATGAAAAAATTCAAACAATAGACTTTTTTAAAAAATGCTAACAGCTAATTTTTTTATTTTTTTTTAACTTTTTTGCTTTTATTCTTGTTTTTCAAACCACAAAAATAAAACAAAAAAAAAAACTAAAAAACTAAAAAACTTGTTAATTCGTAATTTAAAATTTTTAAAAATAAAAAAAAAATAATATTTAAAAATTTTTATTTTTATTTTTTCTCTCCTTATCAAAATTAAAAGCTAAGGCATTTAAGCAATTAATTTTTTAAAGATTTTATTTTCTAAAGTTCTACTTAAGTTTTCCACAAAATTAAAAGTTTTTTTTATAATAATTGGATGTTTTCTTTAATATTAAAATACATATTGTATTAAATTATATTATTGTTATTGATTATAAAAATTTTATCAACAATTTTTTGGTTATTTTCTAGAAATTAAGGCAAATCAGTGTTGCAATTAAAATTTTTGTATTAATATTTAACAAAACCTTATTTAATTTTAAATTGACTTTTTAATACACTTATACTAATGTCATTTCCAAATGATATTATGGATTCGTTTAATTAAATTATAATTAATCTTTCCTTTTTGTAAGAAAATAAATAACATTTTAAGCAGTTGAAATCAAAATAATTCCCGTTAAAAAAAAAAACATATTATGAAAGACTCTTTTATTCGCTAAAAACTTTAAAATTCTATTAAAGCATTAATTTTTAAGTATGGCAAGGACATTTCTTTGTTTTAAAAGAAATTAGAAATTATAATCAAAACAATTAATATCCTAATACCATACAATATGTATTTAAGATCCACATCCTTTTAAATCAGAGCAAAAAAATATAAAATTCACAAACACATCTTCTTTCTAAAAATTTTTTATATAAAATTTCCTTATTTCTTAAAATTATTTTTCTTATTTTTAAAATTTTTCTATTTTCTTGTTACTAAAATACAAATTTTTTTCTTATTTTTCTATACATTTCTTATTTTATAAAATTCGAAATATAATATTTACTCTACAAAATATTCTACAATAACAACATATTTAACCAAAAATAAACATAATACACAATAAAACTTCTGTCATACACAACTACTATACTATCAACATTTAATGCACAAATTTAACCTTAATTGAATTTATAACAAAAAAAAACTTTATTTCACCATTTTGATTTTTTTTTTTAATTTTTAAAAATTTATGTTTTAAATTTTAAAATGCTAATAATGAAAATAAAAAAAAATAAAAACAAAACTCAAATCAATAATCAACAATAAAACAAAAACCGATCCCAAAAAAATGTATATGTATATATAAAAATATATATAAAATGAACCAAAATAAAATCTAGGAGCTATGGCCACTACCTACAGAGCGGGAAATCATTCCACATAGACATCTGCAATCACCTTTAACGTATAAAAAAAATTTCGGTCATTCACAGAGTCCGTAACGTCAGCTGCAACAAAAATTGGATAACACTATCTTAAATGCAATAACGGCAACAACAACAGCAACATCAGCAACAACCACAACATTAGAAATGTCAAAAAATTTAAGTAAACAAATATTTTTGAAAAATAAAGTCATGACAAAATCTTTATCACCAGCATCGTTATCAAAATTATTAACGTCACCCACGAATCTGACATCAGAAATATCTGAATTGCCATTGTAAATTTCAAAAGTTTTCATAAAGAAATAATTTCGAATGTAATAAGATAAAAAAAATAAATTGTCATTTTCATTATATATCATAATAAAATTAATATTTTAATTGCATTAGATTGAATATTACATTGTATACATACATTTACATACAAAACATACTAATGAATTTAGCAATCGCTAAAATTGAAAATTGTTATTTTAATAAAAATCAATTTGCAAAATCTTATATAAAATAAAAAATTATGTAGGTATGTAACAGGAAAATGCTGAGAAAAATATATACTCTTATAAAAAATTAATATATATTGTAAATGGATAATTTTTTCAACATGAAAATTTATTAATTTATATACTAAATAGGATATTTTAGCAAAGGAACAAAAAAAAAGAAAATACAATAAAGAAGAGTAACCTTTTTTATATGAAAAATAAAAAAAATGCATATATATATATATATATATATATTAAATACAAAAGTATTACAAATTTCAAATAAAAAGAATAGAAAAACAAACAAAAAAATTATAAATGTATAAAATTATTTATATATAAACAGATTATATATAAACAAATTATTTATATATTTAATTAAATTACAAAAAAAAAAAAAACAAGAAAAAAATTGATATAAAAAATCGATTTAATTAAAAAAAAAATAATTCACAATATTTGTTTATAAGCTCAGTATTAAATTTAAATGAATTCCAAAAAAGCTTTGTAAAATTCGTACTTACCTGTATTTAATTAAAAAATAACAAAAAAAAACGCAAACAATTAAAGCAAAATTAAATAAGCAAGGTATACAATTTCATTAATTAAATAATTATAAATATAGAAAAATTTGAACACAGGAATAAACAGGATATTGTGTTAGAGAAAAAAAATATAAAAAAAAATCCTTAATAAAATGAAAAAAAAAAAAAATATTAATATTTAATAACATTTTTCTAATAATTAACTCAATTATATAATTATATCTTTTTTTATTGTTTTCGAAATTCTTCCCTTATTTCAAATGCCTTTTATATCAAAATAAGTTATTTACTTATGCTTTAATTTATTTAGATGCAACATTTTTTATTTGATCGAATTTGTAACTTAGATTTATTTTAAGAATTTAAACATATCATTTAAAATGTTACATTTTTAATTTTAATTTATTTTTTTTTCTTGCAAATGAACATAAATAATATTTATGCAATATTATTATTCGTTTTTATTTATTTTTTTTTTTATGTTATAAAGTATTTTAAATGCTTTGTCAAAATTTATATCAAATATCGAAAATTAAATCGAATACGTAAATTTCTAATTTTTAACTATACTTATACAAAATAAAAACAAAATAACTTTGACATCAAAATGAAAAACTGTTATTACTCTTGATAAGGAAAAGTGCTATTTAAATAATTGCTTTTATTTTTAAAATCCTTTTTTTATCTAACAATAAAATTACATATAATTTTTAATTGAATTTTAATGAAACTGTTGTAAAATAAAAGTTAGAAATAAACAAAAATTTTTAAGAAAATTATAAGCCATCGTTCAGTTTACTTAATGTTTACATTTCGTATGAAACCTTTGTAATAACATTTTAGAAACAATTATAGCATCACACTCCGTTCTCCTTTTTTTATTCCTAAAAAGAAAAAAAACAAAAGATTATAATTATTATAACGAAAGCATTTCAATTATTTATGATATTATTATGAAACAGAAACCTACTAAACTAAATTATTAGTTAAAAAATGCAACAATATAATGTCCCTCCATTTTTAAGAAAAAGTATAAATAAAAAAATAAAGTATAATTAAAAAAATTAATAGCTGAAAAACTCATTATTTTGTATCTGTAATTACTATTATACATGCATATTATATATATTAGTAGTGCAAATATATTCAAAAAAAAAAAATAGTTTTGTATATTTAATGAAAAAAAAACAAGTAGATCACTTAGATGAAAACTAAATAAACATTTAGAGCGCATCAAAATGATAAAATACGTTAACAACATTGTTGGATTAAATTAAAATTTTCTAAAAATTGCTATTTAACATATAAAATTTTGCCACACTCATTCCACAATTTAACTTATCCAAATTAAATTTAATTAATATGTCGCTAAATTGAATAAGTTTGAATTTCTTTTATTTGCGAACTTGTTTTATATTTTTTTTTATTGTATATAACATTTACATACTTAAGTTCTCATTCTATGTTTAATTTTTGACACTGAGTAGCTTTGTGATCAAAACTACTGAGTGTCAAATTTTTAATGTATTTCTCATTTCATATACATATGTATGTATTTCCAAAATTATTCTTAAATATTTCTAATTAAATCGGCAAACCATTTTGCGAATTTTTTAATTGCAACTTAAAGAATAATGATAACAACCCTCTTTTAGATAATAAAATGTGAATAAAATATTAAAATCGAAATACTGAACTTGTTCCACAATTCAATTTTCATATTCCATTAAAGTTGAATTTAAAACAAATAATTGAAAAAATTTATTATTTTTCTTATAAATTTAATTTATTTCACAAAATTTTTTTGATTATTCTGTAGAAAATCAAGGCTTTACTTAAATAAATTTTAATCACGCCATTTAAAAAAAAAAACAATGTCAGTAAGTCATGATATTACAGTGTTATCATATACCATCAAATAACAATCTGCTCTACAATGCATACCCAACTTAAGGTTCATATTATTTAGTTTTAATTTGACATTGACACCATTCACAATAGTCTTATTTTTATATTATTATAAATAAATGAAAAATTATTTTAATTTTTACTTAATCCTTGTTAGTGAATTATTTAAAAAATAAAAAATGTTTAGAAAATTTTATGTAAAAATTAATCATATTATTTATAGAATTTGTTTAAACTAATCTTTTATAGTAATCAAAAAATAAATACAAAAACTAAATCAGCATAAATTATTAAATGCATACATAAACAAAATTAACGCCATGTACTTTTAACAAAAAAAAAACAAAAAAAAACATTTTGACATATCTGAAGTAGTCAAGTACTGTTTAAGAATTAAAATTTGACATGTTATTTTTTAACATAACAGAACACAAAATTAAATTATTTCATTTCACACCTCTTATTGTTCATTTTTATAATATTTAATTTTAAATAATGATGAAAATTTAAATATTATATTTTGCAATTTTTTATTGTGTTCATGTAAATTTCATTAAATTACTTTACTTTTTTTTCTTCTTTAGAAATTTTTAATGTAAAATAAAAAATGATTTTATATTTAAAATTGTAAGTTGCCTAAAATTGACGCTGGCGTCTCTTTAATTCTTCTCTTTTTTTTTTATTTTTCTTCCTTTCTTTCTTTCACTTATTAATAACTAACAAAAAAATAAGAATTCTAAAAAAAAATAAAAAATGTTTCAATTGTATATTCATATAAAAAAAAATCTTACAAATATAAATTCCTCTCTCATTTAAAGATTTTTAAATTTTAGCAAAAATTATTGTAAAATTATTATCAAAATACTTTATAATTTGTAGGCGTATTAGTAATTGATATATAAGAAACAATAGAAATATGAAATAATATATATTATTACATATATTTTAGAATATATATTATAAAATATATACATATATACATGGAAAATTAAAATGTAACTTTGTAAAATGTAACGCTGCCTTGAAAATATTTTTTAAGTAATTAATTTTTAATTATAATATGAAAAGATATTTAAAAGCAAACAAATATTAAACAAAAAACAAAAAAAAAAATATAAAAAAAAAGAGTCAAAAAGAAAAAAAAATTATAATTAAAAATATTTATATTGTATGTATTTCTTTTTAAAATTAATTGCAAATTTATTTTGCTATATACTAAAACAATAGTCAAAAATAATATAAGATAAAACCGAATTGAAAAAAGATTATAAAAAAAATCTAGAATTTTCAACAATAGTAATTGAACAAATTACATTAAAAAAAACAATTAAAGAACCAAAAATAAAGAATGAAATCGTATATAATTAAAGAAATAAAAAAGATGGAAATGAAAACGATTAAAGAAAAATTGTGGTTTAGAAAAAAAAAACAAAATATAAAAACTAGTCTGAGTTCAAATGAAAGAATAATTTAAAAGAACTCATGTAAATTTTTGTATAACATATATAAATTATATAACAATAATAAAATGAAATAAGAAATAAGAGAAAACAAGAGAAACCGTATTAAATTTATATATATAAAACAATTATTTAAGAAAAGTAACTATTGTATAAGAATGAACGTAAAAAATTAAAGAAAAAATGAAAAAAAAACACAAAATGTACGTATTTATACAGTCTTATAAAACCAAATTAAAGCTTAGGTAAAAGTAAAATAATATAGAAATTATAAACAGAAAACATAACAGAAGAAAACCATTTCACATATTACTTTAAATTAATTTGTAAGAATATTTAAGCAAAAAAAATTAAAATTAATTTTAAGAAATTTAAAACATTAAAAACGAAAAGCTGTAATCGATGTTATAATAATAATTATTGTATTATTTCAAATAATGAAAAAAGAAAATAAAGTTAATATCACTAAAAAAGAAATATTTCATATAACGAGCATAATTTAATTATTATTTTATCACACATAATTTTTCTATATTCTGTAAACAAAGTAATTCGATTCCCGGCCATTATTAAAATTTTTATTTTGTAATTATTAATTAAAATGTAAAAAATAATGTATTATTCTTTTTTATGTATTGCAAAATACAATAATAATGTGATATTATTCAATATAATTAAATTATAAATAAACATCATTTGGTTGTTTAATTTGGTTAAATTAATTTCATGTTGAATGAGCTCTCTGGTATTTCTTCATAACAGTCATTTCTATTTTGACTGAAATACAGAATTGTCATTTCAATAAACTCTCATGAATAAAGTATATAAAAAATCAAGCATTTTAAAAAAATATATAATAATTAAATTTAATTTTCATTTTAACTGCAATTTATTTAATTCTTATGTTACTTAATATTTATTTATAGGTACTTGTTATAAATTTTGAAAAAAAATTATTTTGTTTACAGAATTATTCAAATTATAAAAAAAAAAATAATCAAACAAAATTAAAAAAACAAAAATTTATCAACAAAAACCACTCAAAGAAAAAAAACTGTTTTAAAACTC